ATTATAATTTTGAGTAAAGTTAGTGAAAATTCTAAAGCGGCCATGAAGTTTGAATAATCATTAATGATATTAAATTTTTCTTACTCACGTGATATTATTGATTTATTTTTCTATTATAACTTTTCGATATAATCAATTTTAAAAGATGTAATAAGTTCAATATAATAATAATAATAACAATAATAATAATGTTAGAAATATTACTAAGATCGGTGATTTTATTTATCAAAAAAGATTTATTATTTTTTTAAGCCAACTTATCTGATCCACTTGGAGACTATTCAATTTTTATTTATTAATTATTTTCACCACAATAAAATCTTAATAACATTTTTATATAATCTCAATTTAAAATTGTCTTAAAAATCAAAATTTTTAATTATTATATATTCATACCAACCTATCTTAGTGGTGCCCAAACCCACATTCTCCTTTGTAACAAAGATGTACTTATCTTTATATACAATAAATAAATACATACATATTCATACCAACAATATTGTGGTGAAAATAATTAATAAATAAAAATTGAATAGTCTCCAAATGGATCGGGTAAGTCGGCTTAAAAAAATAATAAATCTTCTTTAATAATTAACAATTATTATTATTATTATTATATCTCAAATTTTTATTAATCTAATTTTGATTAATATAAAATTAGCTTAATAATAATAATAATAATAATAATAATAATAATAATAATAATAATAATAATAGCAATAAAACATCTCAAATTTTTATTAACCTATCCCTATAAAAATTAAACTAAGTTAAATAAAAAAAAATTTTTTTGATGTTATCTATAAAAGCAAAACCAACCACCAATTAAATCTCCAATGCTAAAAACCTCAAAAGACTTGAAATAACCGTCACAACTTTTATTTTACTAAACATCAAACCTAAAATAAATTAAAATTCAAAAGTAGCCTTGTATTGCGGTTTCAACTTCATTCAACAAGCGCAATAAAAACTAATCGACTTTTCTAAGATTTTAACTTCCACCTTTTCTATTTACCTTCTTACCATAAATAAAACCAAAACAAATAACTCAATTTTCCATCAACCTCCACCAACTTCAATCTTCAAGATAAAAAAAACCGATAATAGTTATTAATTATTAATCAGACTTCCTGAGAAGCTTTTGTATAATTACCACAATGACTTTCATATTCTATAAAAAAAAGTTTAATCTAATCAAAAAAAAAAAAAAATAAATAAATAAACTTACCTTGATACATATAATGCATAATAAATAATATATATTAATACAAATACTGATCCATCAGTTGACTTAGAATATTTTAGTTGTTTATTTAACCAGTGAGAATACACGTTAACTAGGATCAATAAATAGTCGCTCGATATTTCGATTAAAGTCCTATCGCAGAGTACTACTACTATTATTATTATTGTACGTACAAGTACAAGTACAAGTAAAGTATCAACCACGTGCATTTCATACCCATACTCAGTACATACTCTACAGGAGTTTTGATAGCAACAGTGCGACAGTTCTTGCTCGGCAGCGATGATAAGAGGACTATTATCGCACCGAGACTCGCGGATTTTATTACAAATTTACTTCTATATTCCGTGTGAAGAAATATATATTACTTTATTATAAATATATATTATTTATAATCCAACTGATGGATTTTTGCACAAAAGTACTTCGAAAGTACTTATTACAAGTATTGCTAACTAAACGACTCGTACTTTGATATCTTCCTGAACAAGTAAAGCAGATACAAGTATTTTATCGAGAAGTATATATGTAATATATGATATGTGATATTTAATGGCAGTACATGTGATACGAGTAAAGATTTAACTTTGAGTCGCGTGTTATAAGGCTTTACCAAAGTACTAGTAGTGGAATAGTGTTTTCTGATGCAGCGATGGGGTGGGCACTGGGTCACCATTTGGAGCTTTTCGTGCCAGCAAAAGCAAAGTGCACGATAGTTATTCAGTGACTTTATCTTTTTATTTTATTGTTATTGTTTGTTACTTATTTTATTTATTTTTGATCAATGAAATTCCTCTGGATGTCACGTTACGTTCGACAGAAGACATCCGAGGTACGCTAAATTATTTATTACTTTATATTTATTCTTTAAATAATTTACTTGGACGGTAAAATTTAATGTTTGTTTATTTTTTTAATAATTCAAGATCATTTTTATTTTTTAAGTTAAATTTAATTTAGGTACAGATTATGATTGTAGAGAAGAAATAGGAAGTTTGATAGATAAAAAAAGGATTTTTAGATAATTTTTTATGAATAAGCTTTTCAATTAATTAATATGAAAATCAATATGTATGTATTAGTGAATTTGAGCTTTGAAAAAAAGCTTTTTAAATTTTTTGTAGCCCAATTTTTGTGCTAACGCTCTAAACAGTTTTACAAGTGTAAATATAAATTTGAAAATACTTGACTGACATAAAATTTCTTGTGTAGATATTTAAATATATATATTACAAAAATTAAATTAATTTTTGTAAAATTAAAACATGAATTAAATAAAAAATAAACAAGATAAGGCATCAAAAAAATTTGAAATTCAATTTTTATGAATGATTTTCTCAATTCAAAAATTTTTTTTTCTGTAAAAAAATGTGTAAATGCTTTTCAATTAATTAATATGGAAATTAATATATTTGTATTAGTGAATTCGAGCTTTGAGAAAAATTAAAAAAAATTTTTTTTAGCCCAATTAATGTGCTAATGCTCTAAATAGTTTCAAATATAAGTATAAATTTTAAAATAATTGATTGACCTAAAATTTCTTGTGTAAATACTTAAATATTTACATTACAAAAATTAAATTAATTTTTAAAAAATTAACAGATGAATTAAATGAAAAAAAAATAAATAAGATAAGGTATTAAAAAATGTTCTAATTCTATTTTTATAAATGATTTTCTTAATTCAAAAAATTTTTTTTCTGTGAAAAAAAAATTTTTAAGCCTTTTTAAAGAGTTTTTAAAAGCTCTACAAAATCCTACGTTATTTTTTACAAAATAATAAATCAAGAATGTGCAAATTTTAAGGAAAGAATGTGTGATATTATCAATAAAATTTTTTTTTTTATTGAAAAAAATTTTTTAGAGAATTTCTAAAACAAAAAACTATACAAAATTTTTAAAAACAATTTTTAAAGATTAAAATATCCAATAATTAACTATACTTTTAAAAATTTAATAAAATTTCTTCTTTAAAAAAAATGTCAATTTAAATTTCTTCTTTTTCGCTCTTTTGACATTTCAAATTTCGCAAAAAAAACTTTGTCCTTTTTTAAAATGAAACAAAAAAATTGGACTTTTTCATACTAACACAATTTCTTCCTCATATTAATTCCTCATTCCTCTATTACTTTCTGATGGTCGATCACGTGCAGCCTTGAAGGTCGCTGTTAAAAAATTGAGTATCTATAGCATCAGCTGCTCGTATGTACACACTTTAATTCATTTCCAACATTTCATTACAAACACTTTCTTTTTTCTTGACATGCCTATTTTATTCAATCACACTTTTTTCCTCTACATTTAATCTACCGCTGCCGTACTATTGAATTAAACTATGCCAGCAACAATACTAAATTATGAGAATAAATATAATATAATTTAATATAATAATAATACCACCAGAGTGTGAAAGATGCAGAGAAAGTGGTGAGCCGGGGAAATGAAAAATAAAATTATACTTCCTGAGTATGACGTCAACATTATTCTTCTCATTTTTCGTTTACGTCAATAAAAACAATAATAATATAATGTAATAAATATTGATCAATTTTATCATAATATTATTGCATGCTTGAAGCGCGGCTACGCTTCACTTGGTTGAAAATCTAATCGATTTCTTCAATCTTCGTTTTTAAATTTTATATTTCATATATTTAGAATTCTATTCAACATTTTTTTTTTTTCAAAATAAACACTACAAAAAAAATTGAAATTTTTTTACATTAATCTATTTTTAATAAATTTCAGATTCAAGATTAAAATTATTTTTTAATAAAATTTGTCTTGATTTAAAAATAAATTTCTTCATTGAAAATTAAAATTATAATTAATATGCTTTTCAACATATTTTACAATAATTAAAAAATCTGGAAATAAAAAACATAAATAGAAAAATTTTAATTTTTTATGTAATGTTAATATTTTAAAGAAATTTTTTTCAAACCTAATTATTGATCACTACTCATCATATTTTTTCTGACAATATCAATCATGTAACCTTTTATCTTAAAATTTAATACAAAGCCTTAAGAAATGACCTTTTATCTTGTGAAATATTGACATTTTTAAAGATATAAGCTCATCCGGATGTTACACTCATCGAGACCTTTCATTTGAGTACCCACATCAATTTTTCATATATTTATATATATGTTATATATATTATGTATGTATATATGATAAATATATCAAAACAACATGTGGGTACTCAAATAAAAGCTCTTAATGAGTGTAACATCGGGATGAGCTTATATCTTTAAAAACGTCAATATTTAAGAAAGTACAGTGCAATTTTACAAAAATCATTATTTAATAAACCAAAATTTTATTTATTTATAGTTCACAAGTCACGGCAGTCACATAGTGACTGCAAGGTTGCTAGCTTGTATTATTTGCAATAAATAATTACTAAAAATTATTTATCTTAAAAAAATTACATTAGCTGCTGAAACCTCATAATAATAGCAATAGTTAATAGTTATTTGGGGCACGTGTAATCGGTATAAAAATTGGCATGTTGCCTGTTGGCATCGACAAACCGTAGCATGTATTATTAATCGAAATTACCGCAAATTTAAATTACACACCCGGTCAATTGTGAAATCAATTAGCACGAGCGGGTATTCCTAGGATTAAATCCGTCGTGCGGAGCCTTCATCAGAATCACCCATTTCAATTAAAGCTTGAATTTCAATCATACTGTTTATTTAACTCCTCGTAGCTTTAATTTAAATTGTCAGTGTAAATATTTGAGGATGATCACTGAGGCATTGATTGTTTTTTTTTTTTTATTTCAGGATGTCGAGGAGTACAAAAATAATGCCGAGCCGGAACTAGTGATTCCCTTGGTGTGGACGAGTAAACGGAGCCTGGAGGTCGAGGAGCTTACCAGTGAAAGAGAATTATTATCACCAGGAGCAGCAGCAGCCATGGCCTCGACCAGCGGGCACAAGAGAAACGGCTCAAGCTCTAGCATGTTCGCCCACAGACGTACCGAGTCCGGCAGCGGGTTTATCGGACATAAACGCCCTGAAACCGGACACAAGCGAGCTGAGAGTATATCAACAGCCTTTGGCCACAAGAGAAATGACAGCTACGGTGGCTTTGGTCACAAGAGGTCATTTATTACGTCATTATTACATCATGTTCTTTTTTTTTTAACTCAATTCGCTTTTATCTAACATCTTTAGTTAATCTATAATCTATCGCTAATAACTTTTTTTTTATCTGAAGAAAATTTACGCCTTTCTTATTTTACAGAGATTTATTTTTAACAGCTTAGAAAAAATTTGTTTTTTATTAGTACACTGAAAAAAAAAAAAAATGTGAAGAAAATTTTTAATTTATTATAAATTAATTTAATTTATAAAAAATTAAATTAATTTAATTTGTTATAAAATTTTTTTACTTATTTCATAATAATTTATTTGGTAGAAAAAAATTATCCAATGTTAATTTTTTTAAGACTCATTCAATTCAAAATTTTTAATTTTTTTACTGATAAAAAAATGTAATTTATTTTTAAGAATTTTGTTGTTTTAAATCAAGTATAATATTAATAATAATTATTATTATTATTATTATTATTATGTTATTAAATGCTCAGGGGGGTTGTCCCCGGAGTCCGACTCTCCGAGGGCCCAGCCTGAGCTCCATCCATTACTGCTGGACCACTCCGCACAACAAGGCGGTTAGTGATCACAGCAGGCCAAAGTCATTTTCCTAAGTAAACGGAGGGAACCTAGTAGCACAGCCTTCTGCATCCTGACTGCCAAGAACTCAGCTTTAGATGAGCAAGCTGGAACTCTGGCAAGTGAGGATACAAAAGACTGTTTCATCCCTCCAAGGACACCAACAATCAGGACGACAAGCTTGACACGGCAACCTGGGTAAAGTTTGCCAATTTCAAACAGGACATCCTGATATATTTGTCTTTTGTACTCTTCTTTGGCTGAGATGTTGTATTAAGCCGGGGCCGAAAACTCTATGACATAAATGCCACGAGTAGTCTTGTCGAAGAGCACAATATCAGGTTATTATTATTATTATTATTATTATTATTATTGTTATGTTATTAAATGCTCAGGGGGGTTGTCCGCGGAGTCCGACTCTCCGAGGGCCCACCCTGTGCTCCATCCATTACTGCTGGACCACTCCGCGCAACAAGGCGGTTAGTGATCACAGCGGGCCAAAGTCATTTTCCTAAGTAGACGTAGGGAACCTGGTATCACAGCCTTCTGCATCCTGACTGCCAAGCACTCAGCTTTTGATGAGCAAGCTGGAACTCTGGCAAGTGAGTATACAAAAGACTGTTTCATCCCTCCAAGGCCGCCAACAATCAGGACGACAAGCTTGACACGTTAACCTGGGTAAAGTTTGCCAATTTCAAACAGGAGATCCTGATATATTGGTCTTTTGTGCTCTTCTTTGGCTTAGATGTTGTATTCAGCCGGGGCCGAAAACTCTATGACCTAAATGTCACGAGTAGCCTTGTCGAAGAGCACGATATCAGGTTTGTTGTGATCTATCCGCTGGGTTGTTGCAAATGGCATGTTCCAATAGATTTTGCAACTGTCATTCTCAACAACCTAGGGAATATCTCCTGGCCGATAAGGCAGCACTGGTGTCACGTCAATACCGTAGCAATGACGAAGATAGTAGTACAGTACTCTTAGGGCAGCATTGTGACGCTGGATATATGCACCTCTCGCCAGCACAGGGCATGCTGACAAAAGGTGCATAAGCGTCTCCGGATGTTGTTTACACGCCCTGCAGGACGTGTCCGGAAGCTGCACCTGGAGCACCTTGCTACGGTACTCTAGAGTGTTAATGACACCATCTTGGCAGGCAAATATAAACCCTTCAGTCTCGGACATCATTATTATTATTATTATTATTATTATTATTATTATTATTATTGTTGTTGTTTTAAGAGTACATCCCGTATTAATACAATCGGTTAGAAAATATACATATACACAATAAATAATCATTTGAGAAGATTCTACTAAAATTAAAAATTAAAAAGATAAAAAAATAAATAAAAATAACCAGTTAAATTATTAGTTCAAAATAAGCAGTGAGATCATTAAAAAATGTGTAGACTTAATTACTATGTTATTCGCATAGACAAAAGGCTCTGAGAGTTTTAAATCAAGTAGAAAAATTTCTTTAAGATAGCTCAGTCGGTCATAGAGTTACTGTTTAAAAATTTAATTAAATTTGGTATATTTAGAGATTATGTAAAGAGTAAAAAGATAGTGAATTTTTTAATTTATGTGAAAGTAATATTAATTTACATATAATTTAGGTAAATATTTACAAGTGGGGTCAACCATTATAATTTTCATTTTTTTGAACGAAATTTCTATTTGATTTCATTAATATATTTCTTTTTAAAAATACATAAAAAAATGAACAATTAAAAAAAAAAGTTGATTATCAGAATTTTAACAAATTTTCAAGAAAATTTATAAATTTTTTAGAAAATTGTGATATTCAACATTTTTTTTTTTTTTAATTTAAAAAAAAAATATATCAAAAACCTCAAAAAAAGATGAAGTAGAAATTTTATCCAAAAATATGAGAGCCAAAATTTTTTCAAACTTTTGAAGGCAAAAAAGCTATCATCTTTATTTTTTTCTTGTACGATATTTTTTATAATTACCATCATTTACAAGCAACAATTGTTAAATATTGTTTTTAATTTCATTGTCAAAATATCTAATTTATAAATGTTTTTTTTTAAATTGATATTAAAATTATATTATTTTTACTAAACTTAGAATCTCTAAAATAACAATTTAGTGCTTTTTATAAAATAATTAATTAAAAATTTTAATTATAATTATTATTCAAACTATTACTATAACAGGAACAATTAAATTGATAAAAAATTATTTATATTATTTACATTCAAAATTGAAACACAAACTTAGCTATAAAATTTAAAATACAATTTATTCTTTCAACTTTAAAAACAAACAATTTGTTACTTGAAATAAGGTAACTTGATATTAAAAAATTTTTCTTTTTCATTGTACCAGTAAAACTTACCAACAACTTCTTTTACATTGCATTTGTTTGCTAATAATAAAACTATAAATTTTTTAATTTTGAAACTTGAAATAATTTTTCCCAAAACTTTTTTATTTAAACTTCTTATCAGATTGAAATTAATAATTAGTTTTGTTCAATTCATAGAACTAGAAAATAAAACTAAATTTTGTCAAAAAAAAATTTTCATAAATTTTTTATCAAAACAATAAAATGATTATTATTGCAGATCTGAATCCGGCAGCAATTACCATGCAGGACACCGCAGAAACGAAAGTATGTACGCGATGACTGGATTGTACGCTGAAAGCGCAGGAAATATTATCGACGACCCTCTGGACCTGCCTCAACTGAGCGATGGCAGATTAACACATGACACAGTGATCAGGTGTCACAGTAGGAATCCAAGTTCTGGTCTTGTAGATCACAGGTGAGCTTATCAACCACAAGCTTTAATTTAACTAATCAATAATAAATTCCAAATAAAACCAGAGCAAGATTTTCAATAACAGTAAAGTCAATTTTAATTTATTTAATCATTACGTCAATCATACATGGTATGGGAATACCTCTCACGTACATCGGACATTACGTAACTCGTTCAATTATGCTTTGAACAATGGAACAAATGCACCTACGCTGGGCATTGTTCTATGATTAAATGCATGGAAAAAATATACAAGACAAATGTGCCGTATATTTTTATTTTTTTTTTTTACTTATCTATCTTGTATTTCTATGTATTGTATGGCAGAATTCACTGCGAACAACTATTTTTTTATCTTAAAAATTAACAATAGTGAAACAGTAACGGAAAGTTGGATTTAATGCGGCACTGTCACATTCATTCATTACATTTTTTGCACTTTTACAGAGATTTTATCATCAAATGCCACAGCAGGAATCCAAGTGCTTCCATGGTTGACAGGTAAAATTTTTATAAAATATATTTTTTTAGTGCTATTGCAAAGGTCTTGGCTTGAATTTTTGCCTTTTCAAATTTTTATATCATTCTCATCAATAGTTAATTTATTATGATAAATATTTAGGCTGCATCCAAAAATGCTCTAGCTGTAGCTGCATGATTAAGAATGACCTTATATTATGTGAATTATTGACATTTTTAAAGATATAAGCTCATCCTGATGTTACAATCATCAAGACCTTTCATTTGAGTACCCACATCAATTTTTCATATATTTATATATTATATATATGTATATATGAAAAATATATCAAAAATGCATGTGGGTATTCAAATTAAAGCTCTTAATGAGTATAACATCGGGATGAGCTCATATCTTTAAAATATATATTATATATATGTATATGTAAAAAATATATCAAAATTTTATACTTTATTAAATTAAAGAAAAAAAAATTGCATTTTTTCATTTTTAAAAATTTTTTGGCCATCATTTATTTATTATAAATTTTTTATAATAATTAAATTTATGCTAAATTAATTTTTATTAATTAAGAAGTGATCTTGTATCTTGTGAATTATTGACATTTTTAAAGATATAAGCTCATCCGACAGTTACACTCATCAAGAGCTTTCAGTTGAGTGCCCACATGCATTTTTGATATATTTTTCATATATA